TATGTATGTGGTCTATGGTGTTAAAGCCCTTTCGGAAACCGGCTTGTTCGGGAGGCTGGAAGTCGTCAATTCTGCGCGATTCGTAATGACTCTCGAAAACAGCACGTAGTCGCGGCTCAGAAGGGAAATCGGTCTTTAGTTCTTCAAGAGAGCGTTGTCACCTTTCTTGAAGAACAAGACCACCGCACTTCTGCTCCACGCCTTCGGTGTAATGCCACCATGGAGGACGGAATTAAAGAGCTTCTGAAGGACTTCAAGTACCGGTCTTCCACCCGCTTTCAGAAGCTCCGCTGTAATTCCATCCTCGCCTGGGGCCTTACCGTTTTTAAGGTGCTGGAGAGCCATTCTAATCTCGCTCAGACTGACGTCCGGGATATCTTCGGAATAGTGTCGGATGAGACTCGCTCTTGGATCGTTACTCACACTTGCGTGTGGCTCCAACGATGACGTGTACAGCTGCCCATAGAACCTCTCAATCTTACTCAAAATCTCAGGTGTCCCGGAAACGATGCTGCCACATTCTGTCTTCAGCTTTGACAGGTGGCTCTTTCTGGCAGACAGATCTCTGGCAAAGACTTTGGAGCCTTGGTTCCGCTCGATCGCTTCTTCAATACGAGCTGTATTGAAGTTGCGTAAATCCCGCCGCATACATTTGGAGATCTGTCTGTTCAGATGCCTGTATGCTGTCAAGTCTGTTGAAGAATGTAGCTTCATCTCCCGTCTAACAGCCATGAGATTAAGAGTGTGATCGGAGAGTTTTTGTGTTCTTCTGCGGCGGGTCTTGCAGAACTTAGCTCCGACCGCATGGACAGTTTCCACGAGCTTGTCATTCATATCGTCCACTTCATTGCAGTCTTCTAGGCACTGAAAACGGTTTTGTAACTCGAGCTGAAAGGTTTCGGGAACAGAGCACGAGGGGGACGGAGCGTTGACTTCATTAGACGAGACCTCTCCAACTTAACGTTTAGGTTCAGTGTGCCTCTAACCATTCGGTGATCGCTACCAGTTTTCACCCTCGCGATCACGGAGACATCACTGAACAGTTGTCGGCTGGTCGTCATAATGAAGTCAATCTCATTTTTTGTCGAACCGTCGGGGCTCGACCAGGTCCGCTTCCTGTGGGGCCGCTTCTGGAAGAAAGAGTTCATCATAAAGAGTCCCTCTTTCTCCATGAAGTCGGCCAGCTGCTGGCCCCTTGGGTTCCGTTGCCCTATTCCAAATTTCCCTACTTTCAGCTCACCGTTCTCTCTTGTGCCTAGTTTTGCATTGAAGTCTCCCATTAACACCGTTTATTGGGTTTTGGAGGAATGCATGGCTCTAGAGATATCCTCATACATTTCCTCCACCTCCTCATCGGGGTGTGCCGAGGTTGGTGCGTAAACCTGTATGACCTTCAGCGAATACCGTTTGGTGATTCTGAGTATAAGGCACGCAACCCTCGTCGACACACTCCCGATCTTTACAACGTTGTTAACGAGAGACTTGTGGACGATAAATCCGACACCTCCTTGGGACAGATGGTCGCCCTCCCGGTGATAGAGCAAGTTGCCGGATTCGAGGATTACCGTGTCCTCCCCCTCTCTTCGGACTTCGGATAATCCTATAATATGCCAGCGCAACTTGTCTATCTCTTCTTCCAGCTCCACGATCTTCTCGTCAGTCCTCAGGGTGCGTGCGTTGTACGTTGCCAGGTCGAGTCGTCTAAGGTGGCAACCGAACCTCCACCGGAGATTCTTAACACCCCCTGCCCCGCCGTTACTATGGTCGCCACCGTAGCCAGGAATAGCGGGGCCGCCGGGGACTGGGGGCCGTCTCTTTGTTACATTCATAGGGGGGTATTTGCCATAGTTGCCACGCTTGGCAAGCGGGTTGGCAACCGCAGTTTTTTTATTGTAATTTTGGCTATTATCAGGAAGATGCTGCTGCCCATCTCCTGCCTGTTTCCCTTTGTCGCCTTTTACGACACCCACGGAAGGATATGGGGTAGTGGATATTCTTGACCGCCACTACACGGCATATTTCTGTTGTAGCTTTAATTTTTAAGGGATCCAGTTTTTTTAATATATACAAAAAGTACTAAAACTAAAGTCACTATTCTGTAAAAATATTATTTACACTACTTTATAGCAATTTTAACACAATAGTTAAAATTGGTAAAAATCCATCCGATTTCGTACTGCAATCATCGATACAGATTATTATTCATTTCAAATCTTTAATTGTTCTATAATTTTAAAAAGGATATCCCCGTAATTTTATGTGCCATAAAACTAATGAACTTAACCATTAAAAACTTTTTTATCTATGTACAATATTTAATTACATACTTTTAAAATTTTCAAACGACTTTAAAAACAGGCGTTTACAGATTTCTCTTTTCTTTTTTTACTACAGTATTTTTCATTTTCTTTATTAGTAAAATGATTTAACTGACTTCTTATTTTACGAACTTTCATGATGTTTGTGTGGATTTATACTTTTTTTAAATACTACATTATTCATCAACTACAGTTTACTTATGCTGATTTTTCATAAAAATAATAACTCCTGACACTTCGAGACAATTCAAAAACACTTTCGAAATTAATTCTATAAAAACGTTAGCAAGGTTAATCAATTTAAAATTTATCCGCACTAAATCATCTTATAAACGTAAAATTCCAATGAGCAAATGGGAAATTTCGGCGTGATCTACCAAACAATTAGGGAAAAACATAGGGATTTAATATTATAAAACTGGTTCCAATTTTATGAATAACAGTCAGTTTTTCATAAGAGTATCATTCTTTTTTTACTGTTTTGTATATTTTTATTGAGGTTCATTCAATAAACATGTCTGATTTTTTTTTTAATTTTAATTACCAATCTCTTAACTTTATTTAAGATATAATTTTTAACGAGTCCGGGGTCGTAAAAGCCTGTTATATTAATAAATTAATTGAAATAATGGTTTTCCCATATTTATAACTCTTATAATCTGAGATAGCTGTGTTAAAATCTTGTAATTAAATTGCAATACGCTGAACTTTTATGCATGGTTGAAAACCATTTCGTTGTTTTTTTTTTGTGTCCAGTTTCCGAATAATTTATTCACAATAATAGCGGCCTTTGCATGTACTTCGATAACATTATAAAACTAAACTAGTGCATTATGCTGAATGAGAGCATCTCTTTTTTCTGCCAGACTGCAATAAAGAAACTTAAGTTCCGGTGTAAATAGTACGGAACGTCAGTGTAGGTAGTACTATTATTTATTCTGTGGTAGAGGCTAGTTACATGCTATGAGGCATCATGACTTATGCCAACTTTTTACTTTCAAGAAATGTTACGTTTTTTTTTTATTATGATCTATTTTTATAAAAAGCGTTTCTATAAGAAATAACTTCTGCTCCGGAAAGATACGAAGCGTTACATTGTTTCGTCGTCGTCGAAGACGTCGAAGTTGCTACATAAAAAGTTTGCTATTGAAACAGTGTTTATGTACAGTTTACAACTTATACATACACTTTGTTTATATCATTTAACAGATTGTAACTGAAAACGAAATGTTAGTTGAATATAAGAACCTCCTTGTTTGAACGTTTGAAGTTGGTTGGTGGTAGCCATCGGCTGAAGTGACTTACACTGTAAGTTCGTTTAGCGATAAGCGATAATGACAAAAACATCAATAATATATCGTAAACATCTATAAAGGCTATTGAACTGTAGGAAATTGATTGAGTTTATTCTATTCGTATCTTTAAAGATCATGCACAGTGTTGTTTTTTTATTTATTTTTTTATTTAGAAGCAAGCACACAGTTCAGATGGACTGATCTGACATTAGATGATGGTAAGTGATACAATGGTCCATAAACGGCTAGATCTAACCTCGATAAAATATCAAAATGTAGATATGCTGTCACGCTCAAAACTAAGGAATGTGTCATTACTAGAAAAAAGAGCGTCCGGTTCTCTTTACTCAACATATAGAATATAGAACAATATAGAACTGCATTATAGTGACTTTTTACGCTGGTATTCTGTGAGAGCGTGGCCATTTCCCGGTCAACCCGATTCACTCTTAATTCATATCAGCGTGGCTCTAAACATACGCCAAGCAATCTTACTTGTAGTTTCATTATGTTAATAAATTTATTGGTAATATCATAAAGAATAACCATCACTAATAAAATTTTTGATTGTTATTTTAAATGTTGATTTACGTTAACATCGTGTTATAAATACTACCTCTTATGTATTTCTACCTATGCCTGCCGGTCTGTAGGGAATAGAGAGCTAGTTAAATTACAATCTGTGATGTATTCCATTTAGCCCTCAGAGGTGACAATGCATCTGTTGCTTTCTGTGTTTAAAATTAGTTGCAAACGTCTACAGTAACCCCTTACCATCAAAAATGTAATGTGTGTACATAAAAACATAAAACAGCTTTGATAAGGATAAAGATGTTCATACTTTAAACACTAGGAACAAACATAAGCTTGTAATACCAGTTACTAGACACCACAGAATTAGTAATTCATTTATGGGGCAATGCAACAAAGTCCAGAAAATGAACAAAATTTGTCAATAAATAACTTTAAATGTTTTATTAAAGAAAAATTGTACAAAAAGGGTTATTATAATATCAAAGAATACAAAGTGAAAAAATCCCTGAGAGTGAGGTGACCGCAACCATGCTGGTTCTATTAAAATTCATTTAAAATTTGAACAAACAAAAAAGCAAAATTATTATAAAGTGAAATATTTAAAAAAAAAGTCAGTCAATGGTAAATAATAATAAGTAATATTATGTAATGATCTATATTGAAAAAAAAAAATTCTATTCATCAGGCAGATTGTACGTTTGTTTGTCTCTTTAGCATTATAAAAAAAATGAGGGTGGGTAAGAACCGCGTGTTGGATTTTCATGACCTAATAACATACTAAGGAATATGAGGAGCATGACCTGGACCTCACTTTACTTTTACGTTTAATTAATGATACTATTGCATTTTTCAGGCCAACCCCAGTGGATTGGGCGGGAGTGACGGTTCCAGATGCCATCATACCTACACGCTTTACACTCCGTCCAGTGTCAGACATTCCCTTTGCGTACTCCACGGCTATTACGCTCATCGATCAAATTGGCAACAAAATCATCCGCACCACGGAGCTCGTGGCCGACTTGTTGAAGAGTACTGTGCGCGCTGTCGTCGGCTGAATGCAGCCGTTTACTATGATAACGGGTCTGATCAGTTTTATCTTGGGTGTGCAACTTTAATGGCGTCACTACTTCATTGTTTATCTTAATTGACTGTACCTACTTATTACGTACTTCTGGTTTTCGCCTTTTCCACGGAATAATAAATTCGTCAGCAAAAGGCGTCGTATTTATAATTCAGTCGTATTTCGTGTAAACTCCAAATCATTATATTTTCGTTTTTTTTAACTATCATGTCTGGCGTCTAGTCAAGATTACATCAATGATCGATAGTTTTCATTTTTCTTCCGGATGCGCCTGTACCGGATGTACATTTACATAGAAAGTTTTCGAACTTTGTATTTTGTTGTTTGTTCTATAATGATACTCCATAATATTGATTATAGAATTAACATGTTTCACTGTAATTCTTTGTTTATTTAATGATTTAACTGACTGTTTTTACTTCAGGTTATATCAGTTGGCAAGAACAGTAGTCTTAACAATTATATTAATATTATTAAAAAAAATACAGAAAAGAAGCACATGATAAGCGTAATCATTTATGCTTTACATAAATTAAAGAATAATCAACAAAAATTGTTATTTATCAATTCACGTTTAGCATTTCGGCAGTAGACAGTAGATTTACGGCAGACACGAGTATGGAGATAAAAATAACCCAGTATAGTTGTCTTCCATGACAATCATGGATGACTACTATATAGAGATATTTTGCAATAACCGGCCAAATTTGCGGAAAAGGTTCTCAAACATTCTGTCTTTTTTATCTTTTAAATTCAAAATGCGTAGTAATGCATTATTTTAACTGATTTGTCTGCGCACGTACACATTCGTAAGGGTCGATCGGTTGGCAAAAACGTTTTTGCCCATAAATCACATTCAATTCGGGATAATTTCAAACAAAAGTAGAAGCCTTATTTACTCGTATTTTCAAAAACTGCAATAACGGTATATCATTATTTTTAACTATATTTGAACTTAAGTGTTTCTTTGCAAAATAACCCTGTATAGATAATTTTGAAAAGTAAAACATTCTCTAAATATTAAATTTCATATAGATAATGTTTTACTTTCCAACCACGTAAAAGAATTAAAGGCTTAAAAAATCATATAGCGATGTAAGCATGATTGTCATTCTTTATAGTGTTTATGAAACCAAAAAAATGTTAATAATGTTACGAGCTTGGGGTTCGAGACAATTAAAACTGCCGATTGAATTACCAAAATTGACACTTTAATTATAGAACACTAATTACAACTTAAAACCACACTAATAATAAAACACAATTGTACTACTGATCACTTTAGTTCGCAGTTGTATAGCTTCGAAGTATTCGCTTGTATCGCCGACTCAACACAGACTCGGTCGTGGTCTATACCGACCTTATATAGGGCCTCAGATAGTTTCCAGAACCTTCTACTGTAGAAACATCTAGAATATTCGAGTACATATCGGTCCCGAAATTTCTAGAAGGATCTTGACTCTCCTAGTTCTGCTACTCGATACTAGAGGGCGCTAGTGGTAACTAGTATTGCCATGTACAAGACATTACAAGTGGCGCGCATCAATAAGATATGTTTTCAAAGAAAAAGTAAATCCAATAATTTTGTGTCATTTACATAAGGATTAGATACATATATATCATACATTAATATAACTCGTAATTTTTCTAATTAATGTCATATTTATTTTTATTTCTTTTAATTGCAATTTACATAGCTAACATTGTATTTTGTAATGTTTTCAAAGAAAAAGTAAATCCAATAATTTTGTGTCATTTACATAAGGATTAGATACATATATATCATACATTAATATAACTCGTAATTTTTCTAATTAATGTCATATTTATTTTTAATTCTTTTAATTGCAATTTACATAGCTAACATTGTATTTTGTAGCATCTTTTAGAAATGTTTTTGATATTGGTATAAATGAATTATTAAAGGACAAGTCATAATTCCGTGATACTCATAAGATATTAGTATCTAAGCGGATTTCAAGTGCCTCAAAATTAATTTCAAATGTTTTTAAATAAATTAGATTAAAGAATTTTCTCAAGATCAGCCTTATTTTGAAGGAACAATAAAGCAGAAAGAAGGGTTTTTGATGTGGCAGCTTTTGACTGATGACATGAAATATAAAAGGCTACAGAAAAGCTGTAGGCTTGGAAGCCAAGACGTGTGCAGCAGTAAACTTACGATAGGCTGCGAGAATGAAGATGACGATGATGATGATGTTAAAAAGTTAGTGTTGACTGTAGAAGTGTAGACATACGAGAGAAGTGTTAAGTCAAATTTGGTAACACAAGACAAGCATTATGCTCAATGCCAGGGTAAACTTTGTAACGTTATACTCTTATAATTTGTAAGTGTTAATTTATTTATAAAATATGATATGATTAAGATAAATATTATAATTAATAGAATCAGGCGTTACTTTGCGGAAATCCATTATATAAAAGCTTTTAGAAAAATTTACTTCGCAAATATCCGCGTTATAAAATAAAATGATGTGTCTTACCTAGTATGAAGAACATCTCCCGCCCTCCCTCAATTGCGTGCACTATCCCCGTCACAACTAAACCCAGCACCGCTACTCCCAACACCACTACACTAGGCAAGACACACCACTGACGATAATATGACACGTGTTTCGCCTCTACACGAGGCATCCTCAGGTGATATAGACTCTACGGTGGCTAACCGCTAAGTGAGCGGCGGGCCAAAACAAGTGCCTTTTATACAGCCCGATGACGCAACCGCTCTCTACTTAAGGAGCGAGCGACTGCGTCATGCGATAAAACATGCGACCAATCACCGCCGGACGTACGCAGCCGTTTGTAAAATTAAAAACAAACCGCCGCGCAACGTCCACCCTCCAACCACGCAACCAATCGCCGAACACCGTGAGGATGACAAACGACCATATTGCGAGGCTCCCTATTATCGTCAGTGCTGTGTCTTGCCTAGTGTAGTGGTGTTGGGAGTAGCGGTGCTAGGATTAGTTGTGACGGGGATAGTGCACGCAATTGAGGGAGGGCGGGAGGTGCTCTTCATACTAGGTAAGACACATCATTTTATTTTATAACGCGGATGTTTGCGAAGTAAATTTTTCTAAAAGCTTTTAAGATAAATATTGTTTTTATACAATGGTACATAAAGGAAGAACTGGAAGATGTTACTTATAATTTTTTAATAAGTTATAATTTATATAAGTTTATAGAGATTATTTGTAATAAGTTAGAGGTTATTATGAAATAAAAAATATGTACATGAATTTTTTTAATTCATTGACGCCTTTCTTACCTAAATAGTAATGGAAAATGTATTTGTAAAATATCTAAGCGGTCTAGTATTTGATAGTTGCTTATTTTTTTTAAATATCTGCCAATGCTTAACTACTCTCCCATCCGATGATAAGTGATAATATCCGAAGAAAGTAAAACAGACTGACAAAAGTCTATTCACTCTTGCCTTGAAGACATTATAATCGGATGGAAAGAGAAAGACAGGTGCAGGCAATTTAATCCACTCTCTTGCTAAACGACGAAGCAAACGAATGCGTCGTACCTATGTCGACAACAAAAGTGTAGAGACTGGCTGAGCGTTTGGTTGACTTACGGTGGAATTAACTAATTTACATGGTAGAGCCATTCTGCAGCTATATCAGTAGTGTAGTTGTAGTACGAATGTGTTGGCTCGACTGGGGAAGGACCACACTCTCAAAGAATACCAGCGTTAAATAGCAGCTTAATGCTGCTGTTTCGTGAGTGAGTGTAGAGAATAGGAGACCCTTTTTACTTAGTGGTCACAGCTGAAAACGCATCTGCATTTTTAATCGTAAACGAAGATAGATGTAGATGTCTATGGGCCACAGCAACCACTTACCATCAGGTGGACTGTGTGCTCGTTTGTCACCCTTATAATGTAATAAAATATGGAGAAAAAGCGTGCAAAATTAAATGAGGCGTCATGGAAGATGTCAATGCTATGTCGCTGTGTGTTACGAATTTTATTATACTCTAGTGTGGGTACTATGACGAAACAATGTAATTAAAATATTAAATGATATTCTCCATATATGGAGTACACGTGTCTTCGTGAAATGTAGAAATAATATCTAATTAGTTAATTATCAATTAGTTTCAGTAATATCATAGTACATTTATAGAAAAAGACACCATTCACGTCTCTACCTGGAACCACCGTAACAAGAACCCTACCCCCTATCTATGTACCTACGTCGTAATCTATATCTATTTCTATATTATATAATAAATCTGTAGAAAAGTCGTGTCTGTAATTCTAATATATTCTTGAAAAAACAAGTCAAGGGGACTAAGTAAAGGGTTCTGAAGCCAAATTAGTGGTTTTTAGAATTTTTGTCTGTCTGTCTTTCTGTCTGTCTGTCTGTCTGTCTGTCTGTCTGTCTGTGTATTCCGGATTCACGCAAAAACTACTGAACCGATTTACATGAAATTTTGTATGTAGGTAGTCAGTAACCCGGGGCAACTTATAGGCTACTTTTATCCGATTACGGAACTTCGAAAAAGGAAGGTTAAGAATATTAATTTCCTTTAGATGTTAATTTTCTGTTGTATCTTAGTTGTAGGCGGAATGACGGGTGTTTTTCAAATAAATACCATATTACCATATTTGTAAATAAAGTTAAAATATAGTTATAATCTTGGTAAAATAATTTGAAACTACACCGATTTCGTATTCAAAACAGCGCCATCTATCATCAAATGGAAAAGTTGTATATTTTGCCTTCAGTTACTAATAAATGAAATAATATAAATAACTTACATTTATATGATTAAATTATTAAATTTTTAAAATTATTAAAAAATTGTAACGTTCAGTTTTTTAGTATTTTTGTTATTTTATTTTAAAAGTGCAATAATTTCAATAGATAATAGTGACGTCTATCAAAAATATGAAAATTGATAAGGTATTCATTTCAATTACTAATATATATGTAAAGTGATAAA